ATGGACAAATGCAAGTCCCTGCTGAGACTCACTCTCATTGCCTGTCCATTAGAATCCATTTGCTGACAATTCTGCGCTTTATAACCAGTATCATGATGATCTGATAACATAAGACCAGGAAGCAGCGAATCTCCGCAATCAATTATAATGTTGTGCAGTAAACAACAGACAAGAATTATGCTAGGCAATTTATGCTTATCTGGTCTCCACATCACCTTACTGAGAATTCTCCAAACACCCTTAAGCTGTGACAGAGCGCTTGTTGCAAGCAAATTCACAGCCTTATGCTTCTCATTGAACACGGACATGGAAGCCGAAACCCCTTTTCCGACGAACGGAATCATCAGCCATGGGAGAAGAGGGTAGGCTGAATCGCCGACGATGTATTCTCTGATCTCTGCTCCTTCTGCCGAGAGCTTGACAGTTCCGTTCAAGCGGCTTCCACTCTCACAGAGTTTGTAAAACCCCGAGCACTTTAACAATCGAGACATGGTCATGCTTCCCGGCCAACCAGTGACGACGTCGAGAAATCGCATCTCGTGGTCGACTATAACTTGCAAGAACATGCTGTAGTTGCTCTCTTGATCGCACCAGTCATGAGATGATTCGACTGCAGGAAGAGTCATAATGATGTGGGTGGCGTCGATGGCTCCACAGCAGTTGGGAAGACCAAATATGGTCTCGAACTTGGATTTTATTTGCTCCATTCTTTCGGTTTCTGGCCAACTGAGATGATGCCGAGCTCGTTCTTCCATGGATTCTATAAATCTCCATGTGACTTGAGATACAGTGGACTGCCCCACACCAAAAGCTCCTCCAACGGATACTTGGGCTTCTCCAGATGCTAACCGTCTCATGGCAATGGCGACTTGTTTCTCGACGCTAAGAAGCCTACCTTCGATGTTTATGAGTCCTGATGGAGGTCTTGAAACTAAGTCCTGCCTAACAATGGAACAGATATACTCGAAAGTCGTCTTCGATACCCTGAAGAAATGTTTGAATGCTTCATCTTCATCTAAAGGAACGCCTGGCCCTGGCATATATATTATATCGAAAGTATACTTGAATAACTCCATAAAAATCTAATACTTGATTATCAGTCTTATAAATTGTCATCTTCTCAAGAGTCTAAAGGCAGAAAAATCACAAAACATGATGGAATTTAGGTAAAAAAAATTGCTCATATAGGATCTTAGAAAACCATACAAGAACAACAACAACAAGCCTTATCCTACTAGGTGGGGTGAGCTACATGAACCCTTTTCTCCATTACGTCCTACTAAGGGTCATATTTTCATCTTAGAAAACCATCTAGAGAAAAAACTAAAGCTCCTACTCCGTGATCACAAGAGTAGATTGATAGCATAATGCATGAATCTCCCGCTAATCTCGCATGAAAAAGTGCGTATTTAAGAAATATAGAGGGAGTTAAGAAGCATTCCTTATCCATAGAATGTAAGACTTGTTTGCAAGATACTTGTCATTGGCATGCAAGTTCTTGTAAGCAACTTCAAATGAATAAATGTGAAAAAATTAAGGAGATAACCCTTATGTTGTGTACTTAAATAAATAACATTAACCTAAATGATGAAAACAAAGATTTATGATAAGCCGGAATATGGATCTATGGTCGAATATCATAAAGTTGAGCTTTAAAATAAGGAATTTATAAATACACAAAAGAATTGAACTTTTCATCAAAAGCTCCAGAAGAAAGAACATAATGAAAAGAGCGCCACCTACCATTGAAGCTATAATGTTGGAATATTCTTTCATGAGATCAATGATGTGATGCACTAAATGTGAAGATTGAAGTTCTTTCACTATATAAAATCTACAATTGAATTGCGAATGAAACAAATGAACAAAATGGAATTTAATTCGAAAAGAAAATTGAAGATTTAGAAGAAAGGATGGAAAGCTAGCTTATATCCGTCAATAATATCTTGTTGGTTGGACAAATGAACAAAATAAGCACTTAATTCAAAAAGAGAAAAGTTGCTGACTTAG